TGTGATAAAAACCAGATTTCTCTTTAGATAAAGACATTTTGCAGTGGAATTTTTAATGCAATCAAAAGGTAAATAATTATAAACTTTTTAAATAAACTTTAATTTTTTTACTTTCATTTGTATCTGCACATGCCAAAACCTAATATTAATATCCTAACATTTAGTTTTTCTTTCATTGATGAAAATAGAAAATTGGCAAACGTACAGAAAGGATGTTGAACATTCATCAGTCTGACAAAAACCAATTGTGTTTTGAATCGACGTGACAACTGAGAAATTTGATGCTAAATTTCTCTAATATTATGATCTATTTAACAATTAAAATTAGGAAATTGCTTTTTAATGGAAACATATCAACTTTCTTTACAAATTGTATAAATACAATTTAGGATTACGTCTTGATTTAAGCATATACTGGATATATGTTAGATAAACATGTTTACTACGAAATAAAATTCTGATATATTTTGAAATACCAAAAAAATCTACCATAAATTATGAAGAACTAATTAATGAATTAACAAATATTGATAGCAAACCAATTTTTGCGTATTATTTTGTACTAGTGCTAATCTGTATTAGTGGTAGCTGTGATTAAAAATAAAACTTTCAAAAAGTGAAAACAAAATAAAAAATAAAGGATGCATGAAATATGTAGGTGTTCCAAGAATATATATGTTTATTGTTATTCATATTTTGTTAGATCTACCTACATATTTTATGACCAACACTTGCCAAAAAGTCTGCATTCTCTAGTAATGACAATACGTATATTATCTAACTTTAAATATCCCAATAGGGTCATATCTGCATCACAGTAATGATCTGAGTCCTATTTTGTTTATTTCATAGATGATTTATTACCCAGCCTGCTTGCTTTATGCAAATGATTTCTAAATATTTAAAACAGTAATTACTGATGAAAGGGCTACTAATGATGATTGCAGTACCTTACAGGATAAATTTCAGCCATCAATATTGGTACGTAAGCTTTTTAGTTTATTATATTCAAGTGAGACCACATTTGGTTTCTGGTATAATTTTTAATAATAGGAAGAATAGCATTATTGATCAAGAGAAAAAAATAGACTGTATTGGTTATAGACCTCTCTAGAAGTAAGCAAAAGATACCACAAAGAGAAATGTGCGAAAGTAAATGTCATGAAAACAATAAATAATAGAACGAATTAGTGCAGAAGATAATAACAATAACTGACTCAATCCAAGGTCAACCAAACCTTTGATTGGTCATTTGCTTGAAGGCGTTATAGTTACATGATGAGGAAATTGTCATCAAATAGTCTATTTTTAAGATTCTTATTTGTTAAGAACAACGCATATCCATATGTGAACTCTTGTAAGAATAAAAATTGTTCAATAAAATACGTATGAAGGCTGTAAAACTTGTTTTATTCAACGTTTTTAAAATAATTATCCATTAACATTTAAATTATGAGTACCACTCATCTGTAGAATTCCTACTGGTAAAAATCTTGAAGCCAAAACCATGAAAATCACACGGCGACAGTTCGGAACAGTAAGGTGGATGTTACAAGACTAACCACTTTATGCGAATAAGCGGATCTTGAATTATTTGGCTTACAGCTGGTCAGCATCAAGAATAAACTTCACTGAAAGCTCACATTTCTTTGCATGTATCCCAAATAATTCAAAATCTGCTTATTTGTATGACGTGGGAAGTTTGGAACGTCTACCTTACAGTCCCGACTTGTCCCCCGTGGTAGGTTCTTAAAATTATATTGAGATTTTTAAATATCCATTGGACTTTCTTTTTTATTTAGTAAGGCCAAAACCAATACTATCTTATCTGCCAAGTCCAGCACGTTTATATCTAATGAATTCCCATCAGTTAACACCATTTCTAGAGTTTACAATATTTTAGTAACTCGTTTTGAGGAGTAGGTATCTTTTAAATCATAAATATTGTATAAAAACTGGAAATAGTTTCTGTGGGTACTGATCAAATCAAATCTGGATTTAAGTGCATTGATAGCTTAGTCTAATGTGAAAAAATTAAACTGTCTTATATTTCAAAGTAGGATCTTCTATCCTTCGAACTCTATGACATGACTGGGTAGCTCAAAATTAGCCGGTATGTCAATTTCGTTGGCGAATTCTCGAGCATTGTAAAGCATTTCATTAAAAATAAGAACAAGAAGGTTATTCATATATTTCAAAAGTGATATATCCGTACAGGAAAGGAAAAAAAAGTGTTAACCACAGAAAAAAATATTTAACAGGGGTGAAGTGCGACTTGAAAAAATCTTCTATTTTTCAAGAGTTCCATAGCAGTAAGTCATAGACTTCTGTCTACAAGAACTTATTGGATTGATATAATTTAAGATTGTGTACCACATTACAGTGGAGCATAAAATCTTAAATTGTTTAACATAACTTAATAGTCCAGAAGCCTCAACTCTTATAGAGTTGTCAATCTTCGAATTAGTACAAACAGCAAATTGATGCCTCAGTAGTTTTAATGCATCTATTCGGCTTTCCCAACGAGTATCACTTAGAGGTTTTAAAATTAGTCCCTGAACGTATTTTATTAATATGGTCCATCGAACAGTTGATAAGAAAATAATAGATATATTAAAAAATTTACGTCTTCGAAGGATACCTTTGCCATGTCATTAACGACCAAGTTTAATGAGTGGCTACTACATGGGAGATAGAATGCTCGTGGATTTAACGTTTTTATTCTAGATTATATTCCCGATTTATCGCCTCTTATATTGGCCCCATTATCGTGAACCTGTCCCCTCATATCCTACAAATTCAACCCCAGTGTTACAAGTCTTTTAAGTATTAGAGTTGAGAGTTCAGAACTCGTCAATCTTTCAAACGGAAGAAAGCCTAAACAGCTTCCTTTAATTTTAATGGAAACCTCCTTAGGATTCGATTTGTCAGTGGATACATACTTTACTAAGATTGTCATTTGCTCGATCTTGCTGACATAATGACTATAATAATTTAGAATTATTGAATAATATTTAGCTTTTTTAATTTCGCTAATAATATGAGATATATTTTCACTTAAAAGCCATTTTTAAGCGGGAGTTTATTAAGCTTGTTAAACAGTTGGTTCAGTTTTGGATTTGGTCTATAATACACGAAAACTCTACTCATCTTTCAAAAAGTGTTTTTATTTAAAAACTGCATACTTCAACTTTCTTATGTCGTTCTCCTGCTTGAGGATTTTTGAAGTGAATATACTAAAAGTTCGTAAAACATAATAAATGTAAATTTTATTAAAATCCCACTTATTCAAATGAATCTTACCGGCTCTGGGCAGGGGCTGGGCTTGTCCGACCCTAGCACCGGCTCTGGGCAGGGGCCGGGCTTGTCCGACCCTAGCACCGGCCCTGTCCATGGTATTTCACATATTTAGTACCTTAAAGAAATTAATCAAAGGACAGTGGTTTAATTCGGACGCTAAGCTAGAGTTTGTAGTTAGCAATGGATCCGCAAGAATTTTACTAGAGATTAGTGCAACAGTATAAATGTTAATAATAATATTAATATTATTCATATTATAAAAAGTATAGGACAATAATTTAAGTTTACATAATTTAAAATTTGGAATTTAAGATCTCTTTAAACAACGATGAAAAGTGAAATAATAAAAAAAGACATATGAACATTAGTAAGACAAACGTTTTGTCTTGCAGATATTCTGCAACCCTATAGTAGCATTTTCTTTTTTAATTGCCTTTTTAAATTGAAAACTATCATTGAATTTACTTGGGACGTGTTTGTACAATTTAATACATTGATAGTTAATGAAAATTCATATTTAAAGACTTATTTAATTTTTTGTTTAGTAAATCTATGTGATGGGTTCATTTTAGATTACTATCAATATTCAAACCTTATTTGACACAATCTTAAAGTTTAAATATTGTATTCAAAAGTTAATTTAAGAGTATTATTGTTAGAAATATTAGGTATTTTAAAATGGAGGAATTTAGTTTTATCAACATTAATCACTTGACTATTTTTGGTACATCAATTGATAAAATTTTGAATAATAAAATTACATCGTTGTATAAGTTACTCAGAAATATGTGCTGAGATCGCAAATTACATATCGTTAGCAAAATTTTAGAATACTATAATAATAATAATAATAATAATCTCCCTAATTCACCCCCTTACGATTGAATTTTAACCCCAAAAGCTGAGCTTGATACTATCTTAAACTTTAAATATTGTCTTCAAAAGTTAATTTAAGAGCAATATTGTTGGAAATATTAGGTACTTTAAAATGGAGGAATTTATTTTTATCAACATTAATCACTAGACCATGTTTGGTACATCAATTGATAAAATTTTGAATAATAAAATTACATCATTGTATAAGCTACTCAGAAATATGTGCTGAGATCACAAATTACATATCGTTAGCACATAAGATGACCGTATTTGCATCTATTGATTGAGGAAAGTCATTAATAAAACGTAGAAATAATAGCGGTCCCAACACAGATCCCTGAGGAACTCCCAAATCAACTTTTTTTTTTTTAAATCGTTGAACATTAAATGTTTTACACTCTTTAAATGTGTTTCTAGTGAACAATAATTGTAGATCTAAGGTAGACAATACCCTGGACAGGCAAAAAGGGTGGAATATATACCTACTGGGAATAAGTTTTGTACTTGAAAAGACTTTGTACTTAATTCGATTGAAACTTTGAGTAGTTTTTAAACTTTTAAATTCACAAATCCTACGTTATTTTGTATGCTACAGTAAATAACTAAGAAGCCGTTATAAAATAGCTATAAAAATTTAACACTGCCAATTCCACAATAATAGCGAAATTTATAGGTTTCAAATCGTAAAAATTGCAACAAAACTTTTAGAAAACGTGGCTACCAGCGATGAATGCAAACTTTTTGGATCTCTACCTTCACGAATAATTCGTCATACGTGATTTATTCTAAAAAAAACACTCATTTTATTCCCAAACTGTACTCACCGACATAGTGTAAGAAGAAACGGTGGGCCTGGTGCTGTAAGGCCGCCTGGTCGTATAAAAATCGGATTCGTAAACCATTTTTTTTTTGTTTTTTCGCTGATTCGGGGGGGCAAAAAGGCGACAAAAATTCGATGATCGGCGTCTCGTCGAGTTGAAAACTGGACTGAAGCTTGGTTGGTCCACTAGCCTGGGATTTTAGCACTACTTACTTTACTCCTCGACGATGCCGTCCAAAATCTATTTTTGACGGTGCATGGGCGGGTGTTGGAAGACGATAAAGGAGAATATAAAAAAAAATATATTATATGGAGTGATCCATAAAAAGTGTTGATTTAATTCAGAGCCTTACGTTGAAATTGGTTTTGGGAATTTTAACAAGCCACCGAAAGCTAATCTTGTTATCAATGACTTTGACAATATGCTAGCTTGTGTTTGTCCTGAATGTCATTTCATTATTTTTTTAAATAAATAACTTACTCATTTAATGATTGTTTTGAATATTATGGCTTTCAACAAATATTAAATGGACCGACACGAAACACTACTCAGCTAGGGAACGTAATAACATTACTATATAACGTATATGCAACGTTCATGAGAGGTTGTTGAGGGAAATTAAAACCTCACAAAACTTCTATTTATTACTTACCTATATTTAACCTACCTGTTATGTTAATACAACATAATAATATAATTTGCTATGAAATGTATCCACGAGACCCAGCTAGCACAAAAACATCCCATCTACGTTAATAAGCTGCAATTTTATGCTCTTTAAGCTCGCATGCGATGTACTTTTAATGTAACCGTAATATCCATGCAACCTCCGAATGTCCGCAACGGCAAGACTTTTATAGCACATCTCGTAGAGGTTACAAAGTAAGGTTCGGAAAACATTACACTAGCACTTTTACGGTACTTTCCCCAAAAGTTGATCTCAAACCTTTTATAGATGTTATAATGTGAATTCATTCTACAGCATTATACAGTGTGTCCACGGATGGACTTAACAATACTTGTAAAAATATTTATTTTAAATTTAAAAGTACTTCTTCATAATTTCTTTTGCTTGTTAAATAAATACGATTAACGTTGAGAAATTATGAAGAAGACCTTTTTTGAAAAATTTAAAATATATATCTTTACAAGTATATTTATGTCCATACTTGGATACACTATATGTAAAATAGTAAATTGAGGATATAGTAAAATCTGAAGGAAACAAAATAAAAATTTTTATAAATTTATTATTAAAAAGCTTTTGAAATCAAGTACCAATATCATACAAGTAGAGGTAGGTATTAATAATATAGGTAACACAATTACACATATGTGATACCATAAGATAGCCATAAAACACTGACAAATTGGACAAAAGTAGGTATAAAGGGTACCGATATAAGGAATATCTCAAAAGTTCACTAGAATCGAAAACTCTGAACACTTGCATGAAAGAGTATAAGGTACCTATATTGCAAAGGTTCACTAGTAGCTAAAATGGTCAACGATTGTACAAAAGTAGTAAAAAAGTGTATTTATATAAGGTATATGTCAAAGGTCACTAGATTTTTATTAAGATAGAAGTTGTACGATGCAAAAAAAAAATATTTTCCTACAACTGGTACTAATCATAGTTTTAATGCGATATCACTTGCTTAAACTGAATATCGATAAATGTAACATCGGTTTAATAAAACACCTAATATTATGCATGATTATGTCATTGCAGGTTCTAAACTAAATGTTGAGCAAACTATAAATGATCTTGTTGTTATTTTTGACAAGGACCTATCGTTTATTCCTCATTTGGAAGAAATTGTAAATAGAGCTTTTCGACTGCTGGGATTTGTCAAAAGGAACACCAAGCACATTTAAGACACGGCAGCTCTGAAGAGTCTCTACAACTGCTTAGTTAGAAGCATTTTAGAATACTGCTCAGTGATTTGGGCACCTAACTACAATTGTCATATTGATAAATTAGAATGTGCAAAATAAATTTTCGAAGTATCTACTATATAAACATAGGCTTCCATCGCAAAATATAGATTATTAAACCAGAATTCTGTTGTGTGGACTTAAGAATTTGGAATGCAGACGTCGAGAAGCATTGCTTGTTTTCCTGTATAAGTTATTGAACGGTTTGATTGATAGTGACAGCCTGGTACATTTTATTAAATTCCTTGTTCCTGCCAGACTTACTAGGCAGATTAAACTATTTTATATAAATACTCATAGAACTAACTATGGACAGAATTTATTTGTAGACCACATACTTTGATTTTCTTTTACTATACGGAGAATGGTCGCACTGCGCAGCTTTCTGAGTGCCTTTTAAAAGAAGATAGAAATCGCCGCCATTTTGAACCCTTATTACGTGTTGCCTACATCTTGGCGCAATATTTTTAATAGGTGCGTTTTAATCATCCGCTTCTACTTCGGAATTGTCGGTTTTCTTGTTTTAATCTGACAGGTTAAAACGACTAAACCGACAATTCCGGAAGCAGAAGCGGATGATTAAAACGCACCTGATATTTTGCTTGCTGCTGTCCTAATTCTATTTTTTGCATTCTTTATAACCTGCAAGGTTATTCTACTAATTTTAATAACCAAGATGCAAGATGATACCCATTTTTAAATTATTTTATATTATTATAAACAGGTTATAGAATTAGCAGAATAAAAATAATAAACGTGTTATTTATCGCTTATTTAAGTTTAATCAGACCTTTATAAGCCATTATGAGCCGTCTTAAAGACGTCCTATTGATGTCTTATTTAAGGCTTCACAAGACCATTACAAGCTATTAATAAGTCGTCTTAAAGACGTCTTATTTATGGCTTATTTTAAGCTCTACAGACCAATATAAGCCATTAATAAGACGTCTTAAAGACGTCGCTTTTTGTAACATCAGACGTCTTCTAAGACGTCTTAAAGACGTCTTTCAGGAAATACCAGATGTCTTAAAGACGTCTCGAATGTCTTATGCTAGACGTCTTAAAGACGTCTTTAAGACGACTTTGTGCTATCTGGGTAAATATTACATTGTGAATTCGGAACGGAGCCATTCGTTTATGTTTGTACAATAATAAGGTGGTGTAATTATAATTATAAAGTCGATTCTAGATCCAGTGAAGTTGAGAGTAATTCATAACGATGTGGAACATTGTGGACACGTGTTTCTGACTATTGGTTTTCATCAGTACGGCGCAGCCAAGTTCAAAAGAGAATGGAACTAGCGATGAAATCAAATCAACAGGAGATCACTCAAGAAGCCAACCACACATTTGTGGACTGTGCTAACATTCCCAGTAATTACTAGGAAAATATTAGCGTCGCCACGGAGGCAGTTATAGCCGCTATGAAGATGCATCCAAGAAGCATAGTCATTTTATGGCTTAGGTGTATACAAGTAATATTCCAGTCTCAGTTTATGTTTGATTTTCATTTATGCATTAGAATTAATATTTAATTTATTAAATTAAATAAAAATCCTTGCCACCGACGGGATTCGAACTTGAGACCCTTCGATCTCAAAGACATGATTAACCACTGTAGGTACATACTTCCCTCTAGTTTATATTAGATGTATCACATTAGATTATATCCCCAAACATTTGAGGAAGCTTTTGACCATATTTTTGTATTTTATTTTTAAAGGTTTAAAATGGTCCATGATTTTTTACTTTTTATACGCCTTCTTAGATCATAATTATTTTATTTTTATGAAACCCTTCGAAAATTTATCTAAGAACGCTCCTGTCAATAATTCTATTTTGGCATTTGTAAATAGACGGTTGAGGATGGGTTGAGTTTTGATTTTTATTTTTGATGCTTAATACACCAGTCAGATATTTTTCGGTAGGTGCCACACCAGCGCTCTCATTGAATTACGCCAAAATTTTCATTTTATTATTCGACTTGTTGTAAATAAGAATGAATCAAATTTTGTCTAAAAATACACTTTTAAAATCATTATCTGCAGTGATTTTCTAATTTTTTGTTCAATGGGCCCGTTCACTTTCATTTTTGAATGTGAATTAATTATATATTCATAAAGATATTAAACTCTTTTGTCTGGTGGTACTTTTCCCGTTAAGATATTTCTGCTAGAAGTAAGGGAATTCCCATAAAATTCTTTCAGTGACTCATTGCGTCAGAAAATCCCTAATTCCGTTCACTTCTCGTATCGGTTATGCTTAAAGACGGCGGAGTTGTCGGACGTATCCCTAATATAGCATTTCTGCATTTATATATGTAATTTAAATAGTAAAATTCTATTATTTTTCTAAAAATCATGAACTTATATTTTCAGCTTTAAAGCTGGGAGCTTATTTTTTACTTTTTAATTAAAACAATTATTATTACTCAGGCTGAAAATTAACCAGACCATAATCAAAAAGTAGAATTTTGATTTGCAATATTTATCTGGTAAACGTGGCAACGTTGCATTTATTTCTAGAAGTGTGTGTAGACAACACTATTTAGAAGTACTTACAACGTTGTCACGTTTACCAGATACATTTTCTCAAATAAAATTTCGATCTGGTAATATTCAGCTTGAGTAATACTAATTGTTTTTATTAAAATTTAAAAAAGGCAGGGCTTCCAGCTTTATCTGAAAATATAAACACATTATTTTTAAAAAATAATATATTTTTATCATGTAAATTTCTTTAATAAATGAAGAAGAGGAATTGTGGTGCAATGATACATCCGACAACCGCGCCCTTTTAACTATTAACCGATACGAGACCTGAAGGGAATTAGGGGTTTTCTGACGCAATGAGTCACTGAAAGAATTTTATGGGAATTCCCTTACTTCTAACAAAAATATCTTGACGGGAAAAGTACCACCAGACAAAAGAGTTTAATATCTTTATAAATATATAAATAATTCATATTCAAAAATAAAAGTGAACGGGCCCATTATATTAAATATGGACTAACCAAAAAATCATTAAGAGAAAGAAGTACCAGTTTATTAAATATGTACCCAAAATAATTTATTGCTTAATTATTACAAAAAGAAGGTTTTTTGTTCTTATTATACAGCTGTCCATTTATTTCTTTTATTTAA